TGCTTGTTTTTGGCCTGAGATCTGGCTGAAGTAAGGTTAGGTTGTCCACCGGTGGAGCTGTGATCGGAGAAATGACCGATCACTCCGATCACTGATCGGTGGTACCAAATCCACCGGTCGTACTTCCACCGGTCGTACTTCCACCGGTCGTGACGTCAACACCGACGGATCAATTAACGAACACAGTTTGGTGATCGGCGGTACCACCGATCAAAAAAAGAAAACCCCTTTGATGATCTGCATGGGATGTTCAGGTGGGCCAATCATGCATGTGCTTCCGATTTTTAAATGGGTCACTGAACCTTGTATTTTTTATTTAATATTCTGAAAGTACCTGGTGAGTAGATCACGTGATGATTTACTGGATAATATTTTTTGGAGCCAAAATCCCGGACAAGCTCGCTTTCAAAAATTCCAAAGACTCGAAGGGATTTCGAACGCCCTGAAATGACGGGAAGGTAATAATAAGTAATGGACTGCGATAGTCACATCGCTGCATCCTCTTATTTTCAACGACTGTTTGATAAAATAAAACGTACTTTAATGCAAAACTGTTGCCTGTTTACTACCGATAAAATGAACACGATTCGATTCTTTGATTCTGAAGATATAGTTTCGACTTTCCTATTGCTTTCATCTACGAGGAGTACGTTGATTTTGTGATACGCTTTTCTCGTATAATTTTGATGAGAGAAAAAATGTTGCGTAGTGATTCGATTCTTTGTTTTTTTGGAAGCCAAATGTATCAACCTCGATCTCGCCAACATTTCCTCTGACCTTATAGACTGTATTTTTAAATTTGCGTTGAATTATTTTCGTTCTGTTTTCCGATTCAAATTGAAGTCCTCGAAAAACCTCTGGTAGAAACCCAACTCTATAAGTACAAACGTGATCCACATATAACCGTAAATCAGAGAATGAAGGTCCATAAATGGGGATTCCGTGCGATTTGACAGCGTACGGAGGCGACGTAAAAGCCTCCTCGCGGAGCGTGTCGGAGAGGTCGAGTTGCATTATTGCGGTCTCCCCCGGGACACGAACACATGCATGTTTACATACTCCCCAGACAGCGCGCTCGCCAAACTTCCCGTCCAGTATGCGCTCGATAAAAAAATCAGGTGTCCACCCTTGCGGTGTTCGAACCCAACCTCGCGTGCAACAACTGTGTCCGTAGCCACCTTTGACTTATGAGACACCCTGTAGTCGAACTTACGAAAAGGCATCGTTTTCACATTCGCGGCGGGATCATGCACATTGTGGCCGCACCGTATGTGAATCACTTGTTTTCGAAAGGGAACAAGTCCATTTTAGCATGAGCCTCGGCTAGCATTAAAGGACTTGCTAACTAAGTTTCATCGAGGAATGGACCTGTTCGTGGTCCCTTTTGAAAACCACTGATTCAGGTGCGGTTAAGTACGAGCGCGAAACTGCTCACGCTACAGTCTACATGGGTGATAATTATACAGAGAAAACTAGTGCTTCGATTGAGTGTCTACATTGTTCTTATTGATCAATTAAATTACTTCTTTCTGACGCAGGGCCTGAATTTTAATCGTATGTAGGGGAATTACAGGACTTAGAAGGGCTAATCGGTTCAGGCAACATGCGTTTGACGAATATTGGAATCTTCGGAGATCAGAATTTGATAAAGAATGGATAGAAAGTCGATTGAAACTCATTGGAAATCATGGAAAGTTGATGATAATTATAATACGATTGCATTATTAATAAGAAATAATCAATATACGACGAAAGATTGAGATTGATACAATTCTCCTGATTTAGATAATACCTTGCAATTTTTGTTAAAATTTGATTCAATTTACACATTTCGATACAATGCGAATAATTACACGAATTGACTTCAAACTGTACACGTTTTTTTAAATTTTAGAAGTTTTTGTTTTTTGATATGTGATAATATTTGAACATGAAAGCTTTGGTGGCTGAGAGAACCTATAAAATCAATCCTTTAATGCTGCAAAATGCATCGATCCAGTGTGCTCGCTGAGTCGAATTTTTTGACAAACATAAATGGCTCGATCAGTAAAAATCGACATTATCTCCCGAAAGAAAAATTGCTTCCACTTTTTGCAAACAATCAAGCCGCATTCTTCCGCAACCTAAAATTTTCTTTCTTCTGATACTAATATCACTTTCAATCTTTGAGAGTTTAGGGTCAAACCCGCGTCAAAATTTCCAGATTTTCCTCCTCCGTGCACTAGCAGAAAATCGCGGCAATTTTCTTCCTGGACAAAAAGCTCCCTTTACATAAATTTAGTCGCATATAGTCCCTTTAAACGCAGCTGATGCTCCCATCTTCTTTCCGCCCCCGGAGCGAATAAATCGTCGTCTGGCTGACAAAAGGTCGCAACTACACATTGACACGAGATCACAAATCATTAAATGGAGATGTTGCATGTGTGAGGAATTTGCGATTTGACTGTTGATTCTTAGGTAAAAGTTCGCGAGAAACACGATGGTGCCACTGGTATTCTCTGAAATCAACTTCCAAGCTCAAAGAAAGCTCTCAAGCTGAGCTCAAAATGGAAAGGATATCCCACGCTACCCTGAGAGTCCACCTCTACATCAAGATAAACTCTCCGTGCAAAGATAGGGAACAAATACATTGACAGGGCTGCCACTTTATTTAGGGACTCTAAAACTGAAAACACGGCATCACTGCTAATGTATTTGCTCCCTATCTTTGCATGGAGAGTTTGTCTTGATGTAGACGTGGACTCTCAGGATAGCGTGGGATATCCCCTCCATTTTGGCCTCAACCTGAGAGCTTTTTTGAGCTTGGGAGTTGATTTCAGAGAAAACCAGTGGCACCATCGTGTTTCTCGCGAACTTTTACATAAGAATCAACAGTCAAATCGCAAATTCCTCACACATGCTACATCTCCATTTAGATGGGATGACAGACACTTCTAAAACAGTATTTTCAAGCGAATTTTCGAGTCAATCCGATCTGTTCTTCGTGACACTGGTATTCTCTGAAATCAACTTCCAAGCTCAAAGAAAGCTCTCAAGCTGAGCTCAAAATGGAAAGGATATCCCACGCTACCCTGAGAGTCCACCTCTACATCAAGATAAACTCTCCGTGCAAAGATAGGGAACAAATACATTGACAGGGCTGCCACTTTATTTAGGGACTCTAAAACTGAAAACACGGCATCACTGCTAATGTATTTGCTCCCTATCTTTGCATGGAGAGTTTGTCTTGATGTAGACGTGGACTCTCAGGATAGCGTGGGATAACTTTTACACAAGAATCAACAGTCAAATAGCAAATTCTTCACACATGCAACATCTCCATTTAATGTTTTGTGATCTCGTGTCAATGTGTAGTTGCGACCTTTTGTCCGCCAGGCGACGATTTATTCGCTCCGGGGGCGGAAAGAAGATGGAAGCATCAGCTGCGTTTAAAGGGACTATATGCGACTAAATTTATGTTAAGGGAGCTTTTTGTCCAGGAAAAAAATTGCCGCGATTTTCTGCTAGTGCACGGAGGAGGAAAATCTGGAAATTTTGACGCGGGTTTGACCCTAAACTCTCAAAGATTGAAAGTGATATTAGTATCAGAAGAAAGAAAATTTTAGGTTGTGGAAGAATGCGGCTTGATTGTTTGCAAAAAGTGGAAGCAAATTTTCTTTCGGGAGATAAGGTCGATTTTTACTGATCGAGCCATATATGTTTGTTAAAAAATTCGACTTTGACATAAGAATCAACAGTCAAATCGCAAATTCCTCACACATGCAACATCTCCAACGCACGGGCGACGGGGTTCATATCAGAGTGCAGTTACGCCCTTACATCAGGAGAGCGACGAAATTCTCCATTGGCAGGGGTTGATTTTCGGGGGCTGACCTCACTCGGAAACGGTCACCGGGGTCCAGCAGCGCGAATCGCCCTTCATCCCCCGCCCCGTCCGCTTCCTACCCCTTCGTTCCTCCCCTATTCCCCCGTCCCAC